AAGAGCCAGGAACATGAAAGTCTGTCGAAAAAAAATCGCACAGATACAGGTTCAAAGCCCAAAGAAAAAACCCCGTTACGAGTAAACAACTAACTAACAAAAGCGCTCAATACAACCGCAGAGCAGACCTAGATAAACCTAGTGTGCCAGACAAACCTACCCAGGTTTCACCTAAACGGATCGTCAAGGAAAGCTGGCTGGCATATATATATATGCGAAGACATTTTTAATATTTAATCTTTAATCCCTCTCGAATTATTATTGTTATCACTATTAGTAGTACTAGTACTTCCCTTAGGATTATTAGTTATAATTGTAGTAGTAGTAGTTCCCTTAGGATTATTAGTTATAATAGTAGCAGTAGTTCCCTTAAGATTATTAGTTATAATAGTAGTAGTAGCTCCCTTAAGATTATTAGTTATAATAGTAGTAGTAGTTCCCTTAGGATTATTAGTTATAATAGTAGTAGTAGTAGTTAGGATTATTAGTTATAATAGTAGTAGTAGTAGTTGTTCCCTTAGGATTATTAGTTATAATAGTAGTAGTAGTTGTTCCCTTAGGATTATTAGTTATAATAGTAGTAGTAGTAGTTCCCTTAGGATATCTATTTTCCTCTTTTTTTTCTCTATACATGTTAGCGCATTTATAATTTGGTTGGTATGCAAAATCTATCTTACATTTCGTCTCCACCCATTTCTATTTTCCTCTCATTCCATAATTAGGATAAAAAAAAATCTTCAGAAGAAAAAAAAAATATCTATCCTGTAAACAATTAAGAAAAAAATAAACAGGGAATCATAGAGAAATATTTTTTTCTTTTTTTTCTTTTGGGAGCACAAGTCATAACCACCTTTTCACGGGCGTCAACCTTAAAGAATTAACTAAGAAACAATCCTGCGCCGTGTTGAGAACATAATTGACCTTAATATAAGCCTGTGAAGACAATCACTTGGTTTTCTTTTTTCTTTTCTTATATATATATATATATATATATATATATATATATATATTTCTATTCTTTTTCCGCCTCGTGTAGCTCAATTTGTTTTTCGCTGTCATATTTATACAAACCGCAGACGAATTTAGCCAAACTGCAACTGTTCTAATCTACACACGCCGTTGGTGCAGTCCTGATGGATATTGTTATATCTACTTTCTGCTTCTTTGTTTATTTTCTTCCCAGCCAAAAGAGATAAGGGTCTTGTAGGTTTGAATAGGTTGTAATATATGCTGCTGATGGGCGTAGTATTGTTCTATAGTCATTATTGTCTTAATGGTATTTATGGGAAAGTGGTTTTCCCCAAGTGCTCATACACCCACTCCCTTTTCCGTCAAACACAATGTCATTCTAAAATCAAGTTATCGACGTCAGTGTACCTGAGTGCAACAGAGTTGCGGCATTTCTACAATACTGATGGAAATAGATAGGTCTACATGTTTGTTTCTTCGTTTGTTTCTGTCTTTTCTACTATTGTTCACACAATACAAGGCTCAGGAGCCACTCAAGGTAGATGGTTACTGATTGAAACCACCGTAAAAGCTTAAGAAATGACAAGAGGTGTATATTATGAAGATATGTAGGATATATATCGATTGACCCTAAACTTGAAAATAGTAGTTATCGGGGTTGCATCTTCTCGGGAATCTGTTTCAGAAAGTGACCGTTCTGGAGAGGAAGCTGTCTAAGTTGTACTTCCTCCTTACCAATGGTATACGAAGGGGATGAAGATAATTTGAAGACGTGGCGACATTGCAGGTCCTAGATAAGGACTGGACTGGTGGAAGGTAATCGTTTGAACATTTTGCCATAGTAATATCGTTGGGGTGGTGACAGGCTACAACGTTTCATCCGTGGGAAAGGGACGGCAGGTTGGAAGATAATTCATCACCCCCACGTAATCGTTTTGAATTGTCAAGGCTGGACAGCTAGGACTAGGCAACACCAGTTCAGATATGACAGCAATACTCTATTCGCAGACTGATCTGACTCTTGTAAAGATAGAGCAAGGCAGAAATACAATTTTATAGCAAAATGACCAACAATACATTTTCTTTGTAGTTGAAAGCATACAAATGCGTTCAAAATATTTAGATAGTCGGCATTAAATATTCTATAGAGGTTTACCTTGATCCATGTGGTAGCACCTGCTAGGGTCCCAGTTATGGGGAAATAGAAAACCTCAAACAAAAACAAAACACTACGAAAATACATTTTTATAGTAAAAATACCAGCAATACATTTTCATATAAGAAAAATTACCTACAACACTTACGGATAATAAAATTACCAGCAATACAATTTTATAGCAAAATGACCAACTATTTTATCTGTAATTGAAGGCATACAAAAGCGTTCAAAATATTTAGATATTCGGCATTAAATAAGCCATAGAGGTCAACTAAGCAAAATCAACCAACATGAAAGAATTCTTTCAGAATTTATAATATCCTACAATTTGTTAAATAAATCGAACTGTATTCCAAAATATAACTACAACATGAAACGCACATATCACCGACTCTAGTTGGTTGGTTGTTTTGTTTTATGGCATATCAAAACCTCACTGGGTCACTTAATGCCAACAAAATTTTGAAATAGATTCATAGCGATAGTTTGGTTAAAAAAAAAAAAGGTGTGTATGTATACATATTTTGATTGGTTTGTTTTGTTTTACGGCATATCAACCTCAATGTGTCAATTTTTTTATTGCTGGTAATATTTTGTTTTGTCAAAAATCTATTTCTGGTAATAATTTTTTTCCTTCAAAAATGTATTGTTGGTAATATTTTTTCAAAAAAGTATTGCTGGTAACATTTTTTTCCCTCAAAAATGTATAGCTGGTAATATTTTTTTTCAAAAACGTATTGTTGGTAATATTTTTTTTTTTTCAAAAATTTATTGCTGATAATAATTTTTTACATAAGCCAAGTATTTCTGGTATTAAAAACTATTTTTACACTTTCATAGTGTTTTTACTCCAGTTTCGGGGTTAACTATTTGCCCATAGCTGGAACCCTAACAGGTGCTACTAGCCCGGGTCAGGGTGGACCTGGGAACACCAGCAATTAAGAGGTGGTTCCACGCTCCTCAAAACCTCCTGATCAGAGGCCTTGCTGCTGGACGTAGTTTATCGTCTTACTCAGGACGCGGATGTAGTTTAACGTCTTACCCAGGACATCCCATTGTGGGGGGTCTTACCCATCTGCAAAAGTGCAGCCCTAGCCGACAAGCCGTCACCGACTCTAGTAATTATGTCTACACAAACATAATATGCACAAAAGCTGAGTATCATCTACCATGTATTCAATTGTGAAAGCAGAATAACATATATCGTATTTTTATTACTTCGAAGCTCCCAAGAAAGTTAAAATTCTGCATTAAATGACCCATAAAGTATTGATGTGCTGTTAAACAAACAAACCGACCATTCTTCAGTAACGTCAGGAGAGAAAAGTAAATGAGAAAAAACTTCTGTATTTAGAACCGGAATCTTTTCCTGTGTGACTCGGGTAATATTCAAAACTCATGAATATCTTAGCGTAGCAAAGTTTGGACCATTTGTATCTTGTATGTGAACATTTTTAATCCAATTTCAGAATCTACAGAGGCAATGCCGAGTTGAACAGAGCGGCGATAGGTAGAAGCTAATGGAATCCTGAAGGACACTCTGCCGTACAGCTTCCATCGCTGCGTCAGTGTACACAATGCGCTTAGGACCTCTTCCCGGAAGATCACCGAGTGATCCAGTTCATTCAAACCGGACGATTAACTTCCGAATCATGTTACTTCTTGGAGATACTCTGACATCAAAATGTTGCCGCTATTTTCTCTGAGTTTGAATAATTCATCTATCATTGGAATAGAAAAACGCAAAGTGTTTTACTAGTTGCTGGATATCATACGTAGCTATTTTCAATCTCCAACGGATGTTCTATAACCTGGAATCAAAAGAAAATAAAAGATTAAAAATGAATAAGTTATGACTTTTTCAAAACCTTCAGTTTTTCAGTGGCCACTCTGTATTGTCATTAAACCAATGATGGGCGCTTTTTCTGCAATTTTTTGTGTAATGCTTCCAACCGAGAACGATATTTATTCATATTAAACGTTTCGTTATATTATTCCACTAAACATAGCATTATTTTTTTTTCTCTCCGGTGTAGTCCTGGCTTGGGAATGGATACTCCTTTTGCAACGGATTCTCGCCATTGTCGTTTTCGTAGGACATGATTATAAATGAACTCATTTTTCATTATTGCTGATGATTCTACACAGGAAATTATCGGTAAAAAAAAAGTCTACTATTCAATTACGAACAGAGGGCAGCGTTTTCATTAAAGCTGAATAGCAGTCAGATGATGAGGGACCAATTGACCAGACACTTTTCAGCATTTCATGAAAGTGGGACTTGTTTCTTTATAGATTGATTCATCTTTTATGGCTTATCAACCCTGTGCAGGTTATTTAAAGCAAGGAAATAATGGTTTAGTGATGCAAGTTTTACTAATTAACTCATAGCCGGGGGACAAGATGTGGATTCATACCTGATCAGAATCTGATAAACAAACAAGAAATTATGTGGATATAAAGTGGGGGATCAAATATGTATTACAATCAATGTATAAACTGATCTCTCACTTTGTGACCACAGTAGTTTCTATACGTTTGTATTCCAGAGAATGTAAATAAATCTAAAAGACATGCCTGTGCAGCTAATCAATATTTGATGGATTGAATCGTTTTCTACAACTTATCAACTTTTTTCCAAGTTATTTAAAGCCAAAAATTTTTAGATTGTAAGAATTTCTTTTAGATAACAAAGATTTAGTAATACACGTATTACTGCTTAACCCATAGCTTGGAGAAGAGAAGATGGATTCATACCTTTCCTAAGCTATTTGCGCGTAACTGAATATAGTGATGACAACTCTAATTGGAACTCGGCTCTCCGATGAACAATTCAGAGCCATTATCCATTACACCACCCGCACATCCAAGGTTACAGTACCTGGTATTCCCAAGAGGTCACCCATCCAGGTACTGACCAGGCTAAACGTTGCTTCGGTAATCGTACGGGAACCGGTGTTTCAACATGATGTGGCCGTAAGCTGAAACCTGTCTTGTATTGAACTGTTTTGCTAATTCGCGTACATTTTGCGGACGATTTTTGCTCAAATACAATTTGTAGTCGGTCAATAATTGACAGAATTTGGTCGTTCATATCGTGGGTTAACTTTGAGAGAAAACATTTCCCGATCGATATTGGCCAATCCATTGTTGGCATTTGTAAACGCCTAAAGCATAATTTCCAGAAACGATTTTTCTTGTTACTTCCGTTGCTAAAGAGCTCTTTACGGATCCATACAGCATACACTGTCAAAGGGGTAAAATTCAGATAAAATTTACCCTTTCTGATATGAATTATGGCTGGCCGCTCGTTTCTGAATATACATGTCTGTTAGATTTGCTGCTTAATCCTTGTTGCAGACACCTGCTCAGGCAAATTTGTTTCTGCATCCCCTGCATAACCAACCTGTGGTATATTACAATTATGCAGAGTTACAATTTATAGGAGAGAGCACATATGCTATGAAAATATTTCTAGAAAAGACAAGAAGTCGTCACGACTCATCGGTGAGAAAGTGACTGCAGTCGAGATGTCTAGTCAGGATCGATTACATTACAAACAGTAGCGATTCTGGAACTCTGAAAGAGGGTGGGGGGAAGTTAATACAAGCAGAACAGTGTAATTTGTTGGCTTTGATTTTTTTTTTCTATACAAAACATATAAAAGGAAAAAATGGGTACTCAAAAGACATTGAAATCAATAAAAGAAAAGGTTTACTGAAGAAATGCCTGCAAGAAAGGAAGAACTTATATAAGTATTGTATGATATTTTTGACTTACTAACGCCCCAAGAATTCATTAAACATACAAGTATGATTACCAGTAAAAGGAAAAAAGCAGAAAAACTATGCAGAACATGTTAGGTAAATTATTCATTCATTTAAATTAAGTTACGATCAGTGGCGATTCTGGAACTCTGAAAGTGTGTGGGGGCACCTGAAGGCCGAGATTTTCTGTGGAGGGGGGCAAATTCAAGCAGCATCTTTATTTTCATACTACATCACTATCGTATACACAACTTAGAAATGAGTTTTAGTATAAATATGTTACTTCACTAAATTAAACGGAATAACTTTTCATTCATAGTAGTGGAGTTCTAATCTATTTTTGCCCTCCTTTCCACTCTCAAGCTGGTGGACCACAAGAGAGGTTAACTTCAAAACAAAATCAAAGGGTTAAATACTAACGTCAATATTAGCAGAATAGTGTAATTTGTCTGCTTAACCTTGTAAAATCTCAACATTTCGGTCCTTACTAAGATCATGTATTATCATTATTATATACTTTTCTTTTATGTCCCTTTCTATCCTATAAAGTATAGGATATTGTGGTGAGCCATGATCACCCACACATAAAAGGTATGCTGATTTGTATAATGTCGTTTACTTGGGCCAGACTACACAGAGCAAGGAATAAATGAAATTCTATGAACCGATGCGTATAGATAGTTACAGCGATTCGTTTGAAAGATCACAAGTCAATAGATAAAGCAGTCAGTTATAGACCGATAAACAAAAATGCATATATTTCCCCGACGCTTCGTACTACTTAATGCTGTTGAGGAGAAGCAATATTTTACAACCCTGCCTGTTTCTCCTGCGCAATTATAATTGTTGTTCAACATTGCAGACGATTGATCAAAGTTTATTTGACATTAACACACAAATTAGAAGTTGGGCGTAAAGCCCTTCAACATTTTACACATATTTTAATGAATGAAATCGTATATTCCGTGTGAATGAGTAAATTGTGTAAGCCGCACTTTATTCTAAAAGTCGAGACGTCCTCGCACCTGATCTATGATAACCACAAATTTAGAGAGAGAAAGAGATGCCAAGGTATGAAAATATCAGGGAGTGATACAAACACGACATTGTTATAAAGTTGTGACGCGTTCTTAGAAACAGCGTTCATCGAGAACGGTGCGGTGTTGTGTGCCGTGAATTTGCTCTCAGTCGATAGTTATTCAATTGAGTACATTACAGATGATGATATTAATGTTTAAGATTCATATAAACACGATAGTTGGAGAGAAATCACTTTTCTTTGCCTTGAGCGTGAGTGAAGCCGATTACAAAATTCGAAGATAAATAGAATAGGAGAAAAGCGTCGATTTAAGTCGGAAGGAAGTATTTCTTCACTGACCTTCTGTATCCCGAAACCTGCAAAATAAAAATAGATGAATATATAACAATAATTCTTGATCTCAGGGAAATCAAATTATATTATTACGCGATAAAAGTAGACATATTAAAAAACCGTTCCAAACAAAAAAAGAAACAATTCATAACAAAAAAAGAAGAGAAACAAGAAAAAATATATATACTGTAAATTGCGGTGTACAAGTCGAGTTTCCAAGCCAAAAAATATTCCCAAAACTAGGGGGTCGACTTATATGACGGGTATAAAATGCAAATCTTTACCACCAGGTTGTAAACAAGTAGGACAGTACTCCTATCAGTTACCGTACGCTACTTAACAGATGTTTATTAACTCAGGCGGTCATTCAGATGACAACAGTAATACTATGCTTTACAATAACATGATATGTAGCATTACTATAAAAAAAAAACAACCTGGTATGATTTGTAATCTATGGTATTAATATTTTGTAAGAGTTTATCTTGAATTTGATGTCTTTATCAGTAAACCTGACGAATTTTAAATATTCGTTAAGTTAAACCGATACAATATGTTCCTATACGGTGTGTGTTGGAGGCTGTTTGCTATAAAACACATATTAAGATTAGTATCTCAATATAAAGGTAAGTGGTGTAACCTTATATAGCTTTGGCAAAAGTTATTGTATACTGTAGCTTAACTTCATATACTGGTAGGCCTACGTTTGGTGTCGACCTATACGGTAGGTACAGGCCTAACTCATAATTTTGACCTTAAAATCATGGGGTCGACTTGTACGCCACCATACCGTAAAATGGCACTATCGAAAAATAACAACGATTAAAAACAGCTAAACCGCCTTATTTTTATCTTTGTTATATTTCGGCATTAACAATATACGGTAATATATATATATATATATATACATACACAGTGGGGAAACAAATATTCGTACACATACAAATTTTTAATTTATTATATTTCCAACTAATGATTAAACATACTTTTTATATAATCAACTGTACACAGATCCATAATAACTAAATAATAATAACTAAATATGCATAGAAACCAGAAAAAAACTGTTTTAATAGAAATAAATCCCATTTATCCATTTTAATGGGTGAAAAAAGTATTCGTACAATCCAAAAAGAATATATAATATTCATTTAGTAGTACTTTGTAGAATAGCCATTATTAACTTCTACAGCAACCAACCTCTTGTAGTTCTCAATTAATAATTTGCAAACTTTATTTGGTATTTTGTTCCATTTTTCTTTGCATATGGTCTTCAGATTCGGGATGTTTTTTGGAGCTCTCGATTGGATTTGAATTTTCAAATAATATCGTAGATTCTCAATTTGGTTTAAATCTGGAGACTGACTTGGCCATTTCAGGATATTTACATCATTTTCAGCAAGTCATTTCTTCGTAGATTTTGCAGTTTGCTTAGGATCATTATCTTGTTGGAAGATCTAATCAGAAGAAAGTTCAAGATTTTCAACCGAAATCATGAAATTTGCTTCCAAAATATTTTGATATGCTGCGGTATTCATTCTACCAGTTATTATTGACATCTTGCCAGTACCTTTTGCAGAAAAATATCCCCAAACCATGATGCTGCTACCACCAAATTTCTCCGGTGAAAACGTGTTCTTTTGTTTGAAGGCATCTTTACGTCCATACATGATTTCTAGAATTACGTCCAAACAACTCCATTTTGGTTTCGTCTGTCTATAAGATTCTTTCCCAATACGATTTTTTCTTATCCTTATGTTCACGAACGAATTTCAACCTGTCATCTCTGCGTCTTTTCAATAACAGTGAGGTTTACACACTGTGAATTTAGATTGTTCCTATGAATTAGTTTAGTGATACAGATTCCTGATGAAAGCAAATCACCCTGCAACTCCTGACGAGTAACCCTTGGATTTTGTTTAATTTGACGCATTAATTTCCTCGAAGATCTTGAGGAAATCTTACGTGAAGCACCTGTTCTTCTTTAGTTTTCATTAGTTTTTTTTATACCTTACAATGAATGAACTAATAGCAGTAAATGGAATATTCATGTTGTCTAAGACTTTCTGTAACTTTTAGCTTTTTCCAAAGCTTAACAATCAGATCTTTTTGTAAATTTGTCAATTCTTTACCTCTTCAGTATCTGTCTATATTTCTGAGATGAGGTAATATGTACACTATTTACATTATTCGGACTATTGTCTCATCTTTGTCGCCATATTTATTACAACGTTTCGGCTGTTTTACGCTCCGGCCTTCTTCAGGTGGTTAGAATGTCGATCTGAACACTTTATTTCGCTCGCTGGGATATAATTTTTCTAGTTCGACGTGCCATGTCTAATTGATGTCAGTTATCAGTTATCTCCTGTTAATTCCCCTCTCCAAGTTCTCCACCGCAACCATTTTTTACCAGTCATATTGCAATTTTTGCTGTTATCATTAAAAAAATTCTTACCATAGCTCATATTGCAGTTTTCGTTGTTATCGCTTTTCTCTGGCGCTCCTTATTACTGGTTCCCATATTGTAATCATTTCTATGCTTGGTCGGCTCAAGAGATTTTTGTGGCCTAGCATATGTGATGATTCCTTAAGTTTACGAATTTTCCAATGGTGTTCTTTGTCTATGATCTCAACATGATACCACAGAGGGCGGCGATCTCCCTTTTTCTCTCCATATGTGGTCAGCCACACCTGATTTTTTCACTTCCCCCTCGTGTTACAGCTTTCTGGTGTTCTTAAAGCCTTACCTTAAGGGGGCGGCCTGTCTCCCCTTTATATTTCTTTCCGCAACTGCATAGCATACACACAGTCTTTAGTCATGTTCTCCTCTATCGGGAGGTC